CGCAGCAAGAAGAAGAGCCGCAAGCACCAGCGGTTCATGGAGCGCCGGGCGCTGCTGGAGCAGAAGGGGCTGCTGAGACCCCGCCGGTGCCTGGGCAGCCAGGCCCCCGTGGCGGGGCTGGAGGCACGCAGCACGCTCACCAAGGCGGGTGGCACCACGGCACTGTGCTGCGGGAAGGTCCCCAAGCCCAAACAGGTCATCCCCCCTTCCCTGTCCCCATCTGCCTCTCCGGACAGCATAGCCAGGCACCACTCCGTGCTGCTGTCTCAGGGGAATGGCAGCTCTAAGGGGGTGCGAATGTCCTCCCCGCTCCTGCGCCCGGGCAAGTACGTGGCCATCGACTGCGAGATGGTGGGCACCGGCCCTCAGGGCAGGCTGAGCGAGCTGGCGCGGTGCTCCGTGGTGAACTATGAGGGGGACGTCATCTACGACAAGTATGTCCAGCCTGAGCTCCCCATCGTGGACTACCGGACGCGCTGGAGTGGCATCACCAAGCAGCACATGAAGAGTGCGATTCCTTTCAAGGCTGCCCAGGCAGAGGTGAGTTAAAAGAGAGAAATTCTTAAAAAAAGAAAGGCTGTGTGTTATCTGCCAGCCACAAATTGGGACGTTTGGTGGCCCATGCTGAGGTGCTCTGAGGCAGACACACAAGCACAGGATAGGGAGCGTCCAAGCCATGCAGTGGGTTGGTTTGCTTGTTACTGCTCCATGCTGGGAACCTAAAAAACTAGAACTGAGGGAACTGAATTTAACACAAAATTATTTATTTTATGCTTAATTGGTATTTCTTTTGCTGCACCACCTGTCTAACTCTTTCTGACACTTCCAGATCCTGAAGATCTTGAAAGACAAGATTGTGGTAGGACACGCCATCCACAATGACTTCCAAGCCCTGAAGTACTTCCACCCGAAAGACAGGACCCGAGACACCAGCCAGATCCCCATGCTGAAACAGAGGGCAGGGCTGCCCATCAGGGCCAGCGTCTCCCTCAAGAACTTGGCCAGGCACCTGCTCCAGAAAAAGATCCAGGTAAGCACCAGGAACCTTGAGATGGGGAGCGGTTCCTGTGTTTGCTACAAGCCTGTGTGGTCAGCCTGGTCCCCCCCTCTCCATGGGTGCTCTCTGTGAGATGGAGGTGAACCTTGTTCATCCTGTGCTCCCAACTATGATCAAGCTGAGGGAGCCCAGGACCTCCCAAGCTGACCATTAAGCATCTCAGTAAAGCAGGGACAGGACCTGTGCCCTCCAGAAAGTGCTTGAGATGCATGTATCTCCTGGGCTGTATCAAACCTTTGCTGTCTCCAAAACCCCCGGCACTTGTGTCCTGCCGAGCAAGCAGGCAAGGTGACCTGTTGGATTTTTGCCAAACCTTTTTTCTAGCGAGGCTTTTCCCCCTTTGTTCAGGTCGGCTGCAAAGGGCACTCGTCGGTGGAGGATGCTCAGACGGCCATGGAGCTGTACAGACTGGTGGAGGTGCAGTGGGAAACGGAGCTGGCCCGCAGCCTGCCCCCCCGGCCCCCCAGCCCCGTCACGGACCCCACCACAGA